AATTTTCTGCACGGCTGTTATCCTTGCGCCATTTGTAAGCCACTGAAATCAATTTCGCCAAGCACTCCTCGTCGTCCAACGTCGGGTGATCATCGATCATCTTCTGCGACCACTCGGTGAGCAAGCACTTATCGGCCTTGGCAATCTCTGGGCCCAGCGCGGGATCATCGAGTACTCGAAACATGCGGGTTGGAAAACTCCTGCGCTCGTGCCCTATCTTGTACTCAACGGCGCAAGCCACGCGCCCCAACAAAGCAAACGCCAACGCACGAAATTCAACTGTACGGCAGTCGTCTGGCAGAACGTCGAAAAATATTGGATTGCTATTAAGTGCGTTGAGCTTGACCTCACACTCTCTCTCAAGATCACCGCGAGCGATGGTCTGGACTGGGAACTCCCTGATCATCATGTCCCTACTTCCCCTCAACAACGCCCTCGCGGCTTTCGCCTGCTCCTTCTGCTCCCACTGCATAGAATGAATGTGGAAGTTCTTGGTGGCAACCACGCACAAACACTGCGCCGCGGACCGCGCGAGGACCTGCAAGCCAAGTGGGAACTTCTCGGTCCAACAACATGCCTTCTGTCTGCGACTTGCGTTCTCCTGAGCCTTGGAGCCACCGTCAGCGTCGTCATCTTCGCGAGGCCCTCCTCCCACAGCAGCTGGGCCAGCGTCGCAGAGGGGCAGCGCGTCCACGGGCACCTGCGGGCGCGCTGGGGTGACCTCGCGCACGTTGGCAGCCAGCCCACCTCGCGACTTCACCTTCGGGATCTGCTGGCCTCTCACTTCCAGCATTTTCTTGTAGGCGTGGCCGTAAACGTTGTGCACCGCGAAGCCGATGGCCGACTCGTCGATCGAAGCCTCGACGCCTGCCCACTTGTCAGCCCTGAAGGTCGAAGGTCTTGACGAAGCGAGCGCCGAACTCAACGCTGAAGAAAGCATGTGTGTAATCGTATCCTTGTCAATCTCTTTGCCGTCTGGCCTGGGCCTCACATAATACTGTACTCGATCGGTGTCCCGCCAGTCGCCGTTTGGAAACTGAGAAAGCAAAACTCTCTGCATGTGCCTGTCTTTCGCCTTGGTGCTGGTGAAGAGCGTGATCATGCGGTACCTGTGCGACGCAGCCTCCTGGGGGCACGCGCCGCGACGAATGTCGAGCTTCTCGCGCACCACGTCGTACACGCACTTCTTGAAGCACATAAGGTCGCTCGCCATCTGCAGCGACTTCGAGAAGGCCACCTGCCCTGCAAAGTACACGCCCACGATGTCGTACACTTTATCGTAGCACGTCGCCACGTGATGACTCGAACACCCCGAACGAGACGAATGCCAGTTCTGCCGAGAACTCTTGACGATGGCCTCGCTCATCGGGTTAGACGAGTGGTCGTCCGTAGTAGCATGCCTAACCCTCGATTTGAACCTATTCGCAGCCACTGTAGCCCCACTTGCTCTGAAGACTGCCGCTGCGATCGTCGACGCTGCAGTGGACTCGATGTTTGCCAATGGCGGAGTCCGTGAGTGAGAAAATATACAAAGCATCCCCAACCTCCGAACCAACATGGTAGTGGAACTCAGCATCTGCAACATCTTAATTTTAGTGGGCGTCTTCTTCTCTACAATGGCCAACTGCATGTCCTGGGGGATCGCCAAGTTCAAAGCCAACTCCTTCGCTCGATCAACTGGGGCGGCAACGCCCGACTGAAGTGGCTTGTCAACAAATGCAGTCGCTTCCATCGAAGTTTCATCGTAATAGAAAATCTCATTGTACATCAAGAGGTCTTCAGTCTTCTGGCCGCGGGTCACGAACTGCTCCACCAGGGCTAGCACGTGCCTGTCCATGGCCGCCGCCACAGCTGCCGACATCCGAAGCGACCGTTGGAACTTCTTACAGTCAACGTCGATGGCCACAGACGCAGCCGTCAAAGTCTGCAGCTTCCTGTCGCTGTCGTCCAGAGCGTGCCGAACGACGTCGACGACGTCAGAGTCGAGCTCTTCCAGCGCCGAACGACGACCGAGCTCCCGCGCGCCCAGCAGCGCAGGAACGACTGGGTCCGCACTCATGTAGGGGCCCAGCGGCAGCAAGTCCACGACCAGCATGCCACCGCGCTTGGGGGCCTTGGCGCGCCTCTGGAGCTCCGAGTAGCTGTCCTGCGACAAGCTCAAAGGGAGCAGGTCGGCGCACGGGGGGGGCGCCTCCGCCACCGCCAGCACCGCCGCAGGCTCCGCGATCACCAGGTCCAGAGCGTGCCTGCGGGCAGGCGCGACGACGATCCCGACGACGACTGCAACGACTGCGATGCGACTAGAATCAGAATTCAAACCAAGACGGCGACGACCTCTGGGGGGCGACGACGACGACGACGACGACGACGACGTCGACGACGACGACGACGACGTCGACGACGACGACGAGGGAGCAGGGCAGAGGGAGGAGGGAGCAGGGAGGGAGGGAGAGAGCAGGGAGGGGAGACGGGAGGTACCCTAAATGATGCTGAAAGGAGGGGGCGGGCGTTCGTCGTCGTCGTCGTCGTCGTCGTCGTCGTCGTCGTCGTCGTCGTCGTCGCCGTCGTCGTCGTCGTCGTCGTCGTCGTCGCCGTCGCCGTCGTCGTCGTCGTCGTCGTCGCCGTCGTTGCTACCCCGAGCGCCTCTTGGGCGGCCTGCCGCGGAGACGCCGCTGCGCCGCCGCTGGCGCCGCCGCCGGCGCCGCCGCCGCGTCGAGCTCCGCGACCGCGACGAACTCGCCCAGCGACCCCTTGGGAGGGACGGGGGGATCGCAATCCTCCTCCTCCTCGTCATCCTCGTCATCGCATCCATTTCCCCTCCTCCTCCTCCTCCTCCTCCTCCGCCTCCGCCCTCCCATCGCCTCATCCCCATATCCTCCTCCCCCTACCCTCAGCCGCTTTCCTCCTCCTCCTCCTCATCCGCAATGCCTGCTCCTGCGGCGCCGCCGCATCGGCCAGGTCGCCCCAGCCCAGGCCCCCCATGGCGAGAGGGGGCCCCAGACATCCTCAGCCATAGCGGCTGCTCCTCTTCCTCCTGTTCCTCTTCCTCCTCCTGCTCCTCCTCCTGCTCCTCTTCCTCCCCCTCCTGCTCCTCCTCCTCCTCCCCCTCCTCCTCCTCCTCTTCCTGCTCCTCCCCCACCCCCTCCTGCTTCTCCTGCTCCTCCTCCTGCTCCTCTTCCTGCTCCTCCCCCTCCTGCTCCTCTTCCTGCTCCTCCTCCTGCTCCTCCTCCTGCTCCTCTTCCTGCTCCTCTTCCTGCTCCTCTTCCTGCTCCTCCTCCTGCTCCTCCTCCTGCTCCTCTTCCTGCTCCTCGCACAACCTCCCTACCCAAATGGCCCCGACCGTCACTGGAAGAAAGATGGCAGGGGCGCTCGGGATTGTGGAGGTAGGGGGGAGGGAGGGAGGAGAAGGAGGAAGAGGAGGAGAAGACGTAGGAGGAGGAGAAGAATTTTGATGAGGAGCGCGATCCAGCACATTTCGGGCGCTACTACTCCCCGATGCGAAGCCGACAAAGCATCATGCAACACTGACTGCACAACCTTTCCTACGCTCGGGACGTCCACGGAATTTTCAAGCGCCGTGCTTCCTGTTTTTCAATCACCTACTTATCTAGTTATTTGAGTTCCCGTGGGCGTGCTGCCAGTTACTTTCGCAGAGGCGCTAACCTACTTCAAGTTATTAGTTTTGCCTTGGTATGGGGGAAAGCGTTTTCGTTACTTTAATGTTATCTCGATTTGTTTTCAGGTCGCTGGGCTCTCTGGAAGAAGCATGTCACAAGGAGGAGGAGGAGGAGGAGGAGGAGGAGGAGGAGGAGGAGGAGGAGGAGGAGGAGGAGGAGGAGCACCAGGACCCACGGCACGAGCCGCCGCGCCCAGGGCACGAGGCCGTCGGCCAGGCTGCCAGCGTGCAGGTCGACGGGAGGCTGCGCCGACCTCTGCACGGCGCCCCACCCCTGGGGGCCTCCCTCGGCGCAGATGCCTCCCCCATCCAACGGCGGACGGCACTGCCGTCGGAGGGGGCGCACGTGTGGCTCGGGAGGCCCCACCCTCTCATCCACTCGCTGCGTCCAGCCCTGCCGGCAGCAGGGAAGTGCCATCTGCCGCTGGGTAGGAGGAGGAGGAGGATGCAGAGGGATAACGCCGCGAACAGACGTTCTCCTCCTCCTCCTCCTCCTCCTCCTCCTCGTCGTCGTCGTCGTCGTCGTCGTCCTCCCCGTGTCGTCCCCCTTCCATGCGTCCTTCCCAGCCTCGACTTCCCTTCGCGTGCCGGGCCCCAGAGCACCAATCCCCTGTGGACTGTGGACAGACCTGCCCCACGCTGCTGGCTACAGGAGGAGGGAAGATCAGATCACATCCGCCTCGCGAGTGCCCATGACTGGTCCGCCGGCCGAGCGCGCAGCATGGCGTATCATTGCGTCGCAGATCGCTGTGGGGGCGGCATGACAGAAGGAAAGGAAGATGGCCATAAAGCAAGGAGGACTCCTGCACCAACCGCCCGAACTGTGGCCTTCTTCTCGGCACGTGCAGGGCCCCGGCGCCGGTGCCTGGCCGTCGTCACGTCGTCCGTGCGACTGCGCGGCGCTGCGTGGGGGCCACGAGCTCTGGCTTGAGGCGCTGCCTGCCACGCTGTCGCGCCGCGGACTGCTTCGAGGGGAGACATATGGTGCCTCTGGTGCTCGACCACGTGCCCCAGGCAGGCCCGGAGGCCCGGAGGCGGCCATGCCTCTTCAGCATCTGCTGCCGCTGCTGCACTCCGTCGCCCCTCTCCGCGCGGCTCTCCATCGCCCCGCGCCGCGTGCCACGGGCTCTGGGCTCCGCCCTGATGGAACGAAGGAAGGAGCAAGCAGGAAAACGGGGAGGAGGAGGGAGGAGGGAGGAGGGCGAAGGGAGCGGGAGGAGGACGAGCCTCTGCATCTGCCTGCCCCCCCCGCCCACCCCCCACCCGCCCCACCAGCTCCCCACCTCCCTCCCCGCCCTGCGCGCGAGGACGGCGCGGCTGCCGCCTGGGCGGGTCTTCGCCCGCAGCGGCGCTCGGACTGGAGGCCTTCGCACCGCCTGGGCGCGCGAAGCGGCGGGGGGGGGGCTGGAACTCCGACCGTGGAGGGCAGGGGGGGGGGGGACGGGCTGGGGGCTCGACCGGAGGGGGGGAAAGAGGAGGGAGGGCTGGAGGAGGGAGGGCCAGGGGGGAAGGGGAAAGGCGAGGGCAAGAGGAGGGAGGGCTGCAGGAGGGAGGACCAGGGAGGAGGGGGGAAGGCGAGGGAGGGCTGGAGGAGGACGGAGAAGGGGCGCTGCAGTCCGGGGGCCGACCGCCGAGAGCAGCTGCCCGTGCTCGCAGGCGGGAGGAACCGGGGGGGCGCAGGGGAGCCCGCGCGGGAGAAGAGCGGAGCGCCTGGGCGGCGTGTAAAACGACACGAAGGTCGGGACAAAATCGGATCGGGATCACTCGAAATCTCTGAGAATCGGCGGGTTTGGAGGATGTATTGGGCGCCGCGGCCGCTCCAGAGCGTTCCGGAACGCTCTGAGAGCGCTCCGGAACGCTCTGGAGCGATTTATCCCGATCCCAGCCCTGTTTTAGCGTGGGCTGGGGGGGGGGGGCCGGGCCCGGGGTGGTGGGCAGAAGTTCTGCGGCCGGCGGCAGCCGGGCCAGGCCTGGTCCGACTGGGATGCCCACGCTGCGCCGACCCAGAGATCCAACGTATTGAAAAAATCAAGACGGAGGTTTTTCGCTATTTTCGGCCTCGAGGGGCCCTCGCCGGGCCCCAGGACCGCCAAAAAACGACTCGGGATGAGAAACCGGTCCCGGGGAATGGGTCGAGACTTCTGGGGACCCCGCATTGGAAAAAATCACGACGTCGGATCTCTGGGGACGCACTCCCCGAGGGTGCCAGGAGGCGGTGGCGGCTCGGCGCTCAGCTCGGCCGCCCGGATGTCGCGCCGATGCGCCGGCCTCTCCAGGGGGCCGAGGCCGAGGAGTCGGCTCCGCACGGGGCGGCGGACGCCGGAGCGAGGGAGAGAGAAGGGCCAAGAAGTCGGCGGGAGGAGGAGCAGGGGGAGGGGTACTCCAGACTTCGCAATCAGAGGGAGGGGGTCTGGACCCTCCAAGACGAGCCATCTCAGACCTCCCCCGTGGGAGAACCCTCCAAAACACCGTCCCCAGACCCCCCCAGGGCCCTGCAAGATAGCCTGGAAGAGACCCCCCCCCGAAATGAGACCCCCCTCCCTCTATTACGAAATCTGGAGTCATGGAAGAGGGAGGCGGGCGGGAAGGAGAGGCAGGGGGGGGGCGAGGACAGCCGGGTCCAACGAGCCAGCGGGCCCCGCCCCTCTGGAAAATCCCCTCTGGAAAATCCCTCGGTGCTCTCTCGGGCGGCCAAGTTGTCCACGGCAGCGGCGAACTGCCATGGTACCCTCGGCCCTGTCTCCCCTGCCTCACCGTCCCACTCCCTCTCCCTCCAACCCCTCCGTTCCTCCTCCCCCCTCCTCCCCACTTCCCTCCTCACGCTTTCCCCCCTCGCCCTCTCCCCCTCCCCTTCCCCCTCCCCCTCCCCCTCCGCTCCCCACTCCCGGAGGGCCTTCGCCACCGTCGCGCGCCTCGCGGTTGTCGCCGCGCTTCTCCCGGTTCCGCTCCTGCTGGGCCTTTCTCATCGCCTCCCAGACAAGGGCAACGGATGGGATCCATAGAAGTCTGGCGAGAACGGGGGCGAGAAATGTGAGGAGGATGGCAGAATGGAATATGTTCAAGAACGTGTGATGCGACGTGTGACATTTCCTGGTCTTCAGCAGTGTTCCGACTATCTCCGGCCTCTTGCTGTGGATAGTTATGTTCGTCTGTCCTGGGCCAAGCTCATGCAGCGATCGAATGTTGATAAGCGCATCGGCCTGATCGACACTGGACACCTCCGCAAGAATTGTGCCACCTCCGCGAGTTCGAATCCGAACTCAACAGCTCGAAACTCGGCCATGTCCAAGAGAGGATCAAAAAAGTTAGCACCTCGGCATCAAGTGAAGCATGACCAGACATTGCCACACTTGTGAAACTATGTGAAGCTGACAACTGAAGTCATAGGCCTTGAAGATTGACTCAGAGATCTTCTGAACTTGGACGCAAGCTAGGTCCCATCCCCTTCTCCCACCTCCCCTATCTTCTCTTCCCCCTCCGCTCCTCTCCGCTGTCCCCATCGGCCTGGACAATTCAGACCCGGGCGGTCGAGAGCCCACTATCGATCATCATCGAACATATTCAGGCACGCGGCACTTGACATCTCTGCACCAAGTGAGCTCGAGCAGCACCTGGTATCGGCGCAGCGATTCCGACAGGAGCAGGGGGAGGCGCACGAGTCGGGAAGAGCGCTGGCGGCTCTGGCTGGAAACGGCGCCTGTATTGCCGAGCGCTGCCCTGCTGAGCCACGGAAGGCGGCGGCGGCGGCAAAACTAGGGGGCCACATGCGAACCCGACCCCTACCCCCTACGATTTCTGAGGGGGGGTGGGGGTTCACTTCGTTCGGGAGCTCCCGAATGAAATGAACCCCACCCTCCCCCTCAGAAATCGTATGTGGGGGGTAGGGGTAATTAGGTCTCGCATTTGGCCCCCTAAAAACCCCCACGAGTGTATAAGGGGTGAACCTTGGGCCCGGGAGAGCCGGGAACGCCGGGCACGCCGGGAGTGCCGGGAACGCCAGGAACGCCGGGAACAGAGCTGGGAACAGAGCCGGGAACGCCGGGAACGCCGGGAGTGCTGGGGACGCCGGGAACGCCAGGAACGCCGGGAGGCCGGCCCGGAATGCCGGGACTGGCCGGCCGGGAACGTCAGGAAAACCTGGAGGACTGCGCCAGCTGGGAGAGCCGGGACGGCTGGGAAGGCCGGGAAGGCCGGGACAGCTGGGAAGGCCGAGAGGGCTGGGAAGGCCGAGAGGGCTGGGAAGGCGGGGAAGGCCGGGGAAGGCCGGGAAGGCCGGGGAGGCCGGGAAGGCCGGGGAGGCCGGGAAGACCGGGAAGGCCGGGAGGGCCGGGAGGGCCGGATGGCTTGAGATTGTTTGCGCAGAGTTGCAAAGAGTTGGCTTGCACAGTGTATCATATTGATTATGCTGTGTTCTGTTATTATGACCGCTTGCGCTTTGAGCATCGGCGTGTTGATGAATCGCTCTCTGCTGCTTTTCCTGTATGTCGCCTCCCTCTTCTTCTCACACCATATCTTCACCCAACTCTCATATCCCTCGAGCTTTCATGATTATCTTTCCGTGCGTTTCGCTTTCTGGCGATAAAGAGACTTGGACATGACGGGAAATTGACATACTCAATCCGTTTCTATTGGTTGGAAACTAACGGGGATGCGATCTCCACGATGATGTCGTCGCTGGGATCTCGTTCGCCGCGTCGCGCTCTTCGAATAGCATCGTTTGAGATCACTTGAGTTCGTGAGAGTTGATTCGATTTCATGTGAGTTTTATTTGAATCCCATGTGAGCTTCATTTGAGTTACATCTGAGTTCCATTTGAGTTCAGTTTGAGTTCAATTTGAATTCATTTGAGTTCATTTGAGTTCATGTTACTTCCACGTGGTATCAAGTTGAGTTCCATTTGAGATCCATGTGCGTTCATGCGAGTTACATTTGAGTTCATTTGAGTTCATTCGAGTTCAAGTTGCGTTCCATGTGAGTTCCATTTGAGTTCGTGTGAGTTCATTGGATTTCATTTGAGTTCATTGGAGTTCCATCAGAACTCCATTTGAGTGTCATCCGAGTTCCACTTGAGTTCCGCTTGAGTGCTGCAATTTGAGTTCATCCGACTTCCTTTGAGTTCCATGTGAGCTCAATTTGAAGTCGTTCGAGTTCAGTAGATTTCATTCGAGTTCATGGGAGTTCCGTGCGTGAACGCCATCTGAGCTCGATTCGAGTTCCATTCGAATTCCATGTGAATGCAAATCTCAGCCCAAGAGCGGAGAGCCCCTGCAGTGTTGCACACATGGGCGCTGCGGCGCCGCGGACCCGTCCCGGAGAGCGCGCAGGTGCCCGGGGAACGCCGCGGGCGCTCCCTGCGGCGCCACGCCGCCCGCGGAAAGACGCACACGGCGCCCACTCTAAAACTCTCTTGCCGGAAGGGGACAACGCGCGCAACTGTGCTCATATTGGGTCTGCAGTGCCGCGTTTGTCTGGGTAGTCGAAGCCAATCTGGCAGGCCCAATCTGGCAGGCCCCATCTGGCAAACGGGGGCCATCTGGCGAGGGAGCCCACGCGAATCCAGCCTGGCGAATAGCCCAGATCATCCAGTTTGGCCAGGCCAGATCGGCCCTTGGGGCCCAATCCAATCTGACAGTCTGGCCTTCGACTACCCAGAATTTAAAACTCTCTTGCCAGAAGGGGACAACGCGCGCAACTGTGCTCATATTGGGTCTGCAGTGCCGCGCTTGCCTCTGAGGAGCACGCAGGCGCTTAGACATGTCTTTGACATCCGCGGGGCCACGCTGTCTCCTGAATAGTCTACAGGCGTAGATGTTTGAAAAATATTGCTGCAGACGGGGGCGAAATCTTTTCGAGTGCGCCTCGGCGCTCCCTGCGGCGCGGCGCCGTCTCTGGAAAGGCCCACAGGCGCCGAATTCTGAGTCTCACGTGAATCTTCTGAGTCTTCTGCGTCTTCTGAATATTCTGAGTTTATGTGAGTCTTGCGAACATTTGAGTCCAATATGAATATTCTGGGTCTTCTGAGTCGCAGACAGCGTCCTCTGAGTTTTTGTTGACTCTTATGAAACTTTCGAGTCTGGCGGCTTCGGCGCTCCCTGCGGTGCGGCGCGGTGCTTCGAAGGGCCCACAGGCGCACAAGTCAGAGCACTATTTCTCCAGAAGTGGAAAGCGATGTCTTCGAGCGTACTTCGGCGTTCCCTGCGGTGCCGCGCCGCGGCTTAAAGGGTCCACGCGCGCGCTCTGGAATGGCCCACAGGCGCCGAATTTGGAGTCTCACGTGAATCTGCTGAGTCTTCTGCGCCTTCTGAGTATTCAGAGTCTTCTGAGTCTTGCGAACTTGTGAGTCCACTATGAGTATTCTGGGTCTTCTGAGTCTCAAACAGCGTCCTTTTTGAGTTTTTTCAGTGTCATGAGTCTTTGGAGTCTGGCGGCTTCGGTGTTCCCTGCGGTGCGGCGCCGTGCTTCGAAGGGCCCACAGGCGCACAAGTCAGAACAGCATTTCTACAAAAGTGGGAAACGATGTCTTCGAGCGTGCTTCGGCGCTCCCTGCGGTGCCGCGCCGCGGCTTGAACGGTCCACTGGCGCGCAATTAAGAAACATATTGATCGATATGGGGCGAATTATCTTTTCAAACGCCTTCGGAGCTCCCTGCGGTGCCGCGACGTCCTCTGAAGGGCCCGCAAGCGCATAAGTTAGAAACACATTGTTCCACACGTGGAAAACGTATCCTTCGAGCATCAATCGGCGTTCCCTGTAGTGCGGCGGCGTGCCCTGAAGGGCACGCAGGCGCGCGGAACTGCGCTTCGAGCGCCTTTCGGCGTTGCGTGCGGCGACACACCGTGCTGTGAACAGCACGCAGGCGCGCGGAAGTGTCGTTCGAGCGCTGTTGGTTGTTCCTTGCGGTGTTTCGTGGTGTCCTGAAAGGCACGTCCAGAAGGGGGAAATACTCACAAATTGTTCAATTTTGTTTCGCGGTGCCGGGCCGCGCTTTGAAGGGAGCGCAGGCGCGCGGAAGTGTGTGTTCGAATCCTTTTTGGGGTTCCCTGCGGTGCCGCGCCGTGCTGCGCCGTGCCCTGAAGGGCACGCAGGCGCGCGGAGGTGCTCTGAGCCGTGCGGCGTTCCCTTCGGTGACGTGCCGTGCCCTGCAGGGCACGCACACGCAGGCGCGCGGAAGTGCATTTCGAGCGCCCTTCGGCGTTGCCTGCGGTGACACGCCGCGTTGTGAGCTGTACGCAGGCGCGCGGAAGTTGCGGCAGCAGGAGGATTGGGCAATGTTTCCCCTTGAGCCATAACAATAGGCAAATCACGGATACACGCCTAACTCGCTACACAACTGCTGAACCTAGTCTGACAAATGTGCTATCCCATCACACTCGTCGGAATTTCTAATAGGTTCAGCATCCCAAGAACTGCAACTGGGATAGAAACCCTGCAAGCGGGACAACACAACAGTTCGACAAGGCATCTGCCCCCGGATGCCCTGCAGCAAGGTCCCGGTGAAGTCTACTGGAAAAGCAGGAGTCCGACCGGCCGGCCGGAGGGAGAGAGAGGAAGGAGAGGAGAAACCAACCACACCACCACCACCTGCCTGGGCCAGGAACTCCTGCCAGGAGATCAGGACCTCGGACTTGGCCAGCTCTCGCCTAGACGCTGCCTGGGATCGATCTTTGAGCTCCGGAGTCTCTTTCCTACGACTGAGTTCTCCACTTTCATCGATGAGACTGAGCTTCCCGTGGGTCATCAGATCGAAGAGGGCGGCGTTGCTTTTCGTGATGTCGTCTTTGGTGAGGGAGTCGACGGGCACGCGCCCGTGAGGCACCCACCTAACCTTGCCGCCGGCCCTCTCGAGGGCCTCGCTGATAGCCAAGTCTAGAGCCGTCCGGCGGTCCTTGGCACTGGCGTCCCCTTCTTTCTGCATCGTGTCGTAAATGGATTTGGCATCCACGACATGTACTTGTCCTTCTCGGGAGCC